AGCTAATGATTGTATTAATCAAGTTTTCAATTCCATTTCATTTCGTAAACAACCATTTACACAAAAAGAAATGAAATATTTAAAAAAATATTATACGTTATTAACAATACCAAATCAAATTTGTTTAAAAACAATATTAAATAGGGTAAATGTTAATGACATTTCAATAGAATTTGAAGAAGAATTACAAAAGACATGTACAGATATTACAGATCCATCAACAAGAACGGAAGTGAGTGAAGTTGATCTTGGCAATAGCAATGAAAATATACCAAAACGAAATAACATTGTCCCTGTAACTAAATTACAAAAGAGTGAACCAAAATATTCATTTGCTAGATATTGGATTCTTGACTCAATTAGAGCACAACATTTTATGAAAACTATTCAAGAATTACCAAAAAAAATTTTTGATGAAGTTGAAGAAATTAATGAAATAAATGTATTTGAAAAAGAATTTGTTATGGAGAAATGTGAATTTAAACAAAGAAATGATATAAATGAGAATTTATATATTCCAATGTTTATAAATGTTCCTAAAAAATTAACTCCAACACAAGAATTTAGAATTGAAAAAGATCATCAACCAATTATATTTAAATTCTTTTTTAAAGATGATGTTAAATTAGGAAATGTTATTATTGTTTGTAGACCAACAGAAGACCAAATGAATAATGGTTGTATTGTTTTTGGACAATATAAATTTAATTATATTGGAACTATTGGAAGAAATGAACCATTTGGAGTATTTATTGATTTTACTCATAGTCGTAATTCTCTTGAATTTTTAAGTCATTTTCCAGGAGTAGAAGATAAGGTATCACCAATTAATTGTATTCATTATTTTAGTATTTTTCAAAAAGCAACACCAATAGAGATTACAGATGGAACATATTATCCAGACGTTACAATAATGGAAATAATTCCAGATCAATTAACATACACAGGTATTATTTCTTATGACTTAGTAACTCTTTATTGGTCTAAAATATCAAGAGATAAGAAATCAGTTTATAGTGTTCCAACATTATTAAGACTATTATATAAAGGATATCTTGGTGATTTTATTGTCTCACAAACAATTGAAAATAAAGTTTATGTTCATCGTCAAATGTTAAGTCTTATTGGTGATGTTGGTCAAATTTTATTGTTTGATAGATCAAATGCTGTTCCATATGGTATGATATCACATAATGTTGTTGCAATGTTATTACATTATGGAGTTAAACCTGATTTATTATTTTCTAAAGTAGAAAAACACGTTTCAGAAAAGAAAATCACTAGCATTATGACAAGAGACAATTCACAATATCTTTATAGTATTATTGATCAACAAGAACCTTTTTCTAAAGCATTAAAAGAACATATTAATATTTCTCAATTATTGTTACAAAGACATATTCCATTATATCCATCATATAGACTTGTAGGAGTATTAGACCCTTATGGAATATTAGAACCAGGAGAAATTGCAATAGGGTTAGTCAAAAATATATTAATATCATTTGGTAAAACAGCACTTGTTGCAAATAATAATGATATACATCCACTTTCATTAAAAAGGTTTATAATAAATAACTCAAAATATCCAATAAATGATTTTACTGGATGCATTATTTTTAGTTCAAAAGATCCATATTATTATGTTAATACAGAATTTGACTCTATTAACTTTACATATAGAAGAAGTGACTTTATTGTATTTCAAGAAAAAGAAAGAAAAGAAGATAGACAAGATGAATTAATGAAACTTGATATTGAAAATGTTATTGATATGATGGAAGTAAAACAACCATTTTTTAATCTTATTGGAAGAATTATTAATCAAACAAGTTTTCAACAAGAAAAGTTTATTCATTCTCATTTACTAAATTCATTAATTAATAATGATTTAGAATCATTTCAGTCATTTGCAGATACATTTATTAAGTTAAAACATACAGATAAAATTATGGAAGTAAGAGAATGTTTATTTAGAATTAGAAAAATACCTTATTCAATTAATTTTTTTGGAGTACCATTAGATGCTATTACTTCTCATCAAAGATTTAATGATTTATTAAATACATTCATTGAACAAGAAGCAAAAAAAATAGAAACATTATATAAATCTTCTTCAAGAAAAGAATATGCAAATAAACAATTATTAAATGATGCAAATGAATGTAATGAAGATTTAATTCAACAAGCAAGAAAACAATGGTTTTATTATTCAACAAAATTAAATAAAATTTTAAAAAATAATCCAAATTGGTTAATAGAATTTCTAATTGGTTCTTCATTAAGAAAAGGTTCTCAAGAACGTGCAATTGAAAAATTAAAAAATAAATATAAATTATTTAATTGTGAAGAAAAAACAAGAAGGTTAGTTGCTTTAGCTCGTTATAAAGTTGTTTATACTGAACAAATAGAAAATGAAACTATATTATTATCTCCTAGTTTTGCATTTATATTATCCCAAGAATTATTCTTGACAAAAGAAGAAACATTTGCTTTACAATCAAATAATGCAATTATTCATTTAGAATAATTGAATAAATAAAATTTGATTAATAAAAAATAATAATTTCTTTAAATTAAATTTTGTTTTTTTTTTTTCTTTTTAAAGTCCCATTTCTTTCATTATTTTCATTACATCTTCTGGTCCATTAACTTGATGAACTTTATTAATAATTGAAGATTGTGCCATTTCATAGTCATTTCCTCCTTTCATAGTTCTATCTCCAAAAAATTCAAAATGAGAATATTTGTTTTTAATATAATTTAATGAATATGTTTTATCCCATCCAACTGGATAACAATCAAAACTAATTTGTCCTCCAATTGCAAATACAAGATTTAATTCACTAAATTCTTTTTTTATTTTTTCAATAAGTTGTTCTCTAATATGATGCTCTTTATCATATTTAAAGAATTCTTCTCGTTCTTCTTGAGAACAATTTCTTCCTATTGGTGAAACATTTAAATTACCACTACGTAATTCTATAAAAGTTCCTGTTTTTATTGGAATATCAATTTTAGATATCTCTACCAAAATATAATTTATTAGTTTATTGTATTTCTCTTGTCCTACATGTTCTTTAAAACTTAATTTACCAATACAAACACCATCTTGATATGTAACTAATCCATTCTCACAAAAAACAAATTTAAAGTATTCTGTAACATCATCTCCTAATTGCTCTTTTAATTTAGGTAAATCTGAACCACTAACAACTCCTAAATCAATTTTTTTTCCAGCTTCTTTAAGAAATGTTTTCATTTCTTGAGTAATTTTGTTTCTTGGTTTAGTTAACGTTCCATCCATATCAAATAATAAAATTGTGTTATTCATTACTAATTTAAATAAAATTTTTAAGTTCTTTTTTATTTTTTATTGTTTTTTTTTTTAATAAAAAGAACTACAAAGGGTTATAAATAATAATGCAAACTTCGTTATTTGAATTTGCTAATGTTCTTATTACAGCAGTAAAAGAAGCAAGTTATAGTATTAGTAAATTTAAAGAAGAAGTTGAAATAAAATATAAGTCTGATGGGTCAGAAGTAACACAAGTTGATACACAATCACAACAAATCATATTTTCTATAATTAAAAATAAATATCCCACAATTAATATTATTGGAGAAGAAGATGTTGAAAATGGAATTCCTGATAATCAATTGCCAACAATTACACAATTATCATTTGGTTCATTAGAAAATAAAATAATTAATATTAATGATATTATTATTTATGTTGATCCACTTGATGGAACTGACTGTTATACACATAAACAATATGATAGTGTTTGTGTTTTAGTTGGAGTAACTTATAAAGGAAAACCAATGATAGGAATAGTTTCTAAACCATTTTATAATAATGAAATAACATTTGCAATTGAGAATTATATTTCATCTATTTCACTTCAACCATTAAATGACAAAATTATTTTTGTATGTAGTAAAAAAAATGATATTCAACATTTAATTAAATCATTTCCTGATCCTTATGAAGTTAAATATAAAGGTGGATCTGGTGCTAAAATGATGGCTATTATTCATCAAGAAGCAGACATTTATTATCATCCATTAATTCAATCATGTACTTGGGATACACTTGCTGCACAAGTAATTCTTGAAGCACAAGGAGGAATAGTTTGTGACATTTATGGAAATCCACTTTGTTATCCATCTTCAAAAAAAGAATCTATGAGACATAAAAAAGGGGTATTATGCTTAAGTCCTAGAGCAAAAAAATATTTACCTTATATGTTATCTATTTCAAAAACAATTTTACTTTAAAACAATTGAATTTTTTATGAATAAATTATTTATAATAATATCTTTTATTATTTTTTATTAAACAATTCAAATTGACAAAGAAAATTTAATTAAATTAAGTTTTAATAATATTTAGTATTTAAAATAAATTATTATAATAAAAATATTCTGAAAAGATTCAAAAAGATTAAAAATAAATAAAAAGAGAAAAAAATGGTTTTTGAAATATCAACAATTATTATTGTTATTTCTATGAATTATAACAATTAAAGTGAAGATAGAAAGTCAAAAATAACACACAAACATTAAAATATATCAAAATATTGAATCACCTGTTATCTTCTAGTTATGGTGTTGCATTTATATAGGAAATATCTTATTTAATATTACATGAATGACAATGATTAATTATTATGATGATGAAATATCATTTATTATTAGAGAAGAAGAAGAGGTTTTTTTAGTTGTTAATATGAAGGTTTACATGCTACTATAGGTATTATCAAAGAAAAAGAATATTCAGGTATTTGTTGATAAATGATATTATTTTTAATAATATAATGGGGGTAATGATATATCATTCATTATAAAATAAGAAAATAAAGAATGAGGATATTTAAGTATACAATACAATTCAAATAAAGAAGTGATAATTACTTAAAAAATGAATAAAAAAGTGATGATGTTTGAAAAAAAAAATATTAATCTAATCTAAAGAAAGAAATGAAGAATAAAACATCAAATTTCTTAACAATGAAAAATAAAAAATAAGAAAATAGTTGCTGAGTAACCAATCTTAAAGCATAAAGATGTATCTAATCCCTGCTGAGTAAAGAACAATAAAAAATACATGTAATAATACTTTATAAACAGCTTTTTAATACTTATAAAGAAAAATAAAACTTATTATTTTTTATCGTTATTTGTAGTTTTCATCTTCTTTTCTTATTATTAAAATAAAGTGAAATTAATGGTATTGTTGAAGGAATAATAAAGAATGTTTTTAACAAAACTACATAAATTGATTATATTTTTATTAATTCAACTTGTATCAACTTTCTTGAAAAGGTTATATTAAATAACTTAAATTATCCCTTTTAATAATAAAATTTGAAACAAGAAATAATAATGATGTGAATAATAAAATATGTTTAAAATTAGTAAACAAGTATGATTAAGTCATGTTTTATTGTCTTAGAAATTTTTATTTATTGTATAATCAAACTAAATCATAACATTTTTGGGTTAATAAACAATATCAAATTCCTCAAAATAGGTTGTTCTAAATAAAGAGAACAGTTTTATATTTAAGTCTTTCATTCATTTGTTAATTGATGTATTACCCACTTGTTATTTTCAAGAAATTATTCTCAAAGGATTCTATTTTTATAAATAATGTTTTATTTATGTATCAAAGATAAACTCATTTTTATTCTTTTTTTATAGGAAAAACACTTATTTAATACAATGAAAAATTGTGTGTTTCTTTAAATATGATTGGTAAAAATGAAATGTATCCCTCATAACTTTTACATAAAAACTTAAAATAACATTCTACAAAAAATAATGATTAAAATAAAACAACACTTTCTTCTTTTATCAAAATACTTTATCTTTTAAAATCAAAATGATGTTAATCTAATGATAGGAAAAAAACCCGAAAATTTAGGTTATGCAATGAAAATTTCTTTTCTTTTCCAAAAAAATGAAACGACAAAAGGGGTTTAAAACCATATTTTGATCTTATAATTTCATTACCGTAATGAAGCACTCTACTATTTTATTGCTTTGTTTTTTACTTGTCATTGTTCTTGGTGATAATACTAATACCACTGTTGATCCACCTTTTACACCAAACTCTAAAGACTCAATTCCTAAAAATAGAGCATACCATCCCAATTGGTTTACTGGAAAAAGTCAATATGGAACATTAAATTATTGTAATAACCCTGAAGGATTTAATATTACAGAAGACATTACTAAGTCATGTTTTATTGGTCCTTATGCAGAGTCTTTGGTAATTCCATCTGCATTACTTATTATTATCTTTGTTATTATTGTTATCATTGTTATTATTTTTTCTTGTACTAGATGTTGTTGTGGACCTTGTTGTGCCGCAAGACATGGAATTTGCTTCCCAAAAGATGAAAAGGCATATTCTACAATGGGATGGTTATGCTGGTTAATTGTTTCTATTGCTGTATTTGCAATCTTTTTAATTCCATTCTTAGCAATTGGTTTTGTTGGAAATTCTAATATGACAGTTGCATTAAAAGATGTAAAAGAAAGTTTCTTTGATACATACGATTCTATGATTGACATTTATAGAAAAACATATACTACTATAGATTCTATTGATTTAACAGGATTACAGAATTTAACTGGTTTTGATAACAGTAGTTTTAATAGTATAGTACAAACTATTTCTGATTTAAATGGTAAGATTAATAAAGTTGATAATACTGTTTCTACTGCAAAGAAAGGAGTTAATTGGATTGAAATTGCAAGAGAAGTTTTTATAGACTTAATTTTCATTGTTCCATTAGTTGGAGTTCTTTTATTCTTTATTGGGGCTGTTTGTAAATGTTGTTGTTTATCTATTTCAATTTTCCCATGTTCTATTATTTTTGCAAGTATTGCAGTTATTGTGGTTGCAGTAGAATTCCCTATTGTCACTGTTATTTCAGATGGCTGTGTATATCTCATTGAAACAATGGATCCAAATACTGTTAGTAACGATACAGGTAGTAATGTTGAATTAATTCTTTCTACTTTCAAAAATTGTAGTAGTTCTGAATTAAATACAATGGTTAATCAATTTTATGATATTGAAAAACAGGTTGTAGGTGTTGGTGTTGATTTCTATAATACAGTTTGTAGTTCTGATAATATTAAATCTTCTAGTTTAATTCGTTGGAACCCTGATCATTATGCGGATTGTATTAATTCTCCTAACAATAATGGTCTTTGTGTTTTAAAAATTAATACAACAAGTACTACTGTTACTGTTTCTCCTATGAATTGTGCAGATGCTCCTGATAGTAGCACTGCATCAATTTCTGATATTGTACAAACTGTTGAAAATATATCATTTTCAGATTATAAATTCTATTACGTTGATTATTCAAATGTAAATGGACAAGCACAAGCTGAAATTTTGGCTCAAATCAGTACTGCACCAGTTAAATGTGAGTCAGTAAGTTATCAAACTAGTGGTAATTCAGGAAATTGGGTCATGACAGATGTTGCATGTTCTGAACCAAATAAGATAGGTATTGATCAATGTGCTACAGCATGTCCAGATGATTACAAACAATATGCCGATACTGTAAATTCATTACTTTCAGTTGCTAATTCATTAACATCAGTTATTGATATTATTACAAAGGAAGTTATTCCATTAATTAGTTGTGATTCAATAAATACAAAAGTAACAAATGTAAAAGAAGCTACTTGTTATAGATTTATTGATCATGAAACATTATTGGTTACTGGATTATTAGGATATGCTGTATCTTTATGTATTATCTTTGGATTCTCGTTATTAGCAATTAAAAGATTTAATAAGAAGAATTATAGTCCTGTTGATGAATCAACAAAATACTATGATGACCAAGATAGTAATGGAATTGAATTAACTAATGGGCCTAACTGAAATTTAAATATACAAAGATAAGTCTTACAAATTTAATTAAAAAATCTTTTGTAACGTTTAATTTATTCTCTTTTAATTTATTAGAGCAATTTCTTGGTTTGATGTAATAAATGAAGCTAAAACATTAACCACTTCTTTAAAATCAGGTCTATTTGATGGTTGTTCATTCCAACATCTTGCCATCAAACTTGAATACATTAAATCAACGTTTTCTGGAATTTTTGGACGTAGATGAGCATTAACAACATAATCAGAGATACTTTTTAAAGGTATATTTTTATAAGGAATGTCTCGAGTAAGAAATTCCCACATTATAATTCCAAAAGAATAAACATCTACTTTTTGACAATAAGGTTTTCTTGCTAAAATCTCTGGAGCAATCCAAGAAAGAGTACCACAAACTGTTGTTTTAATTGTTTCATTATTATTAAGTGATATTGACAATCCAAAGTCACTTACCTTAACTCTCCATAAAGAATCTACTAATAAATTACTTGACTTAAGGTCTCTATGAATAATTGGTGGTATTTTACTATGAAGATAATACATTCCACTTGCTGCGTCATGGAGCATTTTTAATCTTCTTTTCCATGTAAGATAAATACTTTTATCAGCTAAAATACTTCTTACCGATCCTCTTTCCATTAATTCCATAACAATTAAAATATAATTCATATCTGTTCCACTTCCAAAGAGTTGAAGAACACAAGGATGTCTTAGGTGTTTCATTAATTGAACTTCTTTTGTAAATTGAAGAATAGTATTATCTATAACCATTCTTGTTGGAATCAATTTAACAGCAACACTTTGACCTCTCCATGTTGCTCTCCATACATTTCCAAAAGTTCCTTTTCCAAGAATGATATCACAAACAACTTCATTTGGATTAATAAAATCTTCAGTTAGGGATATATTTTTTTTCTTAGTTTTAATAATACAAAGAATAACAAATATCAGTACCAAGACAAATATTCCAATAATTAGTGTAGAAGTTACAACAATAATCAATCGGTGTGTTAATGAAGTATTAGAAGGATATTCTATTGGAATAAAAAATGAAAGATGTTGTGGAGATTCATCTTGACCATTAAGAATAATACCCAAATTTATTGTTGAATTAAAAAGTTTAGATACAATGTTATCAACATCACAGAAAAGTTTAGTTTCTTCTTCATAGAGAGCATTTACAATAAACTCCTCTTGGTTTTTTTTAATTTTACACTTAGCATTATTTGTTGATAAAAATCCATTTCCTTTAACTAAAATAACTTGGGACTGAGTAAATGTTATTAATTCAGCTGAAGTCAGTGTGATATTATAAAAACTGAATTTTACAAAAGAATTAGTAACACTGAGATTTAATCCTGGTCTTTCCAAAATAACATTAATATTAATCCAATTATTTAATGTTGTAATATTAGGAAGAATACAACACCCATGAGTGTCATCAATATGTTGGAATGGTACTTCAATAATATCAAAATAACATGAGAATTTTCTTGAAGACTCAACATTTGATTGTGTTGTTATTTTAATTAAACTACCACCAGTAATTGGTGCAGAAGACGGAAATAAAGAAATAATTTCTGGGAGTGTTGTTTTAAAATGAAATGTAACTTTAAAGAGATGGATACATAATATATTATTTAATTCAATCAATTGAATTGAGTTTAATCCATTAATAACACTATTTCCTTTCATTGTAAAGATAAGAGTTTTAACACAATTTCCTAATGTTCCCCAAGGCTGGGTATTTAGAGTTGATTGTTTTTGGTTGTTATTGATTTTAATTTGAAGAAATGAAGGAGGTGAATATAAGTCAAGATTAGAACCATATTGAAGTGTTATATTTACATATTCACAGATAGTATCATTTAGTATTTCAATTGTTTTATAAAATGGATTAAAAAGAAATGAGTTACTTCTTGAACAATCAGTTGTAGATATGTATTTTAAATTTTCAGGACATTGAGTGTCATAAGGAATAGTTTGATTCTAATAATAATTATTTCTTCTTATTGAATTAGTAAAAAAAAAAGATTAAAACTACAAACAGATTCAAATATAAATTCAAGTTCTGAATTAAATTGATAACTTCCATTAGAATATTTAATGATGAATACTATTACAAATGATAGTAACATGTTAATACCCTCTCTTTTTGTTTTTAAGTTTACTTTTTTATCGACTTTTTTCTTAACTTTTTAAAAATAAATTTCAATATAAAACTTCTCTTTTCTATTTATTTACCATCCATACTTTTCTCTTCCACTTTTCTTTTTTAATGAATATGTTATTTTTTGCTCTTCAATTCGTTTTTCATTTTCTTGAAGATTAAATGCTAATGCACTTAATTGATTCTTTGATTTAGATATTCCATTTGGTTCATAGAATTTTGTTTGTAAATTACTCTATCTTATGTTACTTTTTTTCTGTTTTATTTTTTATTATAATTTTACTATATACAAACTATAAACTCTGGTTTTTGTTTCAACAACTCCTCTTCAGACTTTTTAACTAAATCAAGAGCATTAATCTCTTTTGCTCCTTCCATCATTTTTAATATCTTATTTGCTCTTTTCTCTTTTGCTGTTAAACGTTTTTTTGGAGCACTTTCTCTTTTTTGTTTGTCTTCATTAGAAAGATGATTAACAGTAGGTGTTGACTTATCGTTTTGCATCAATTACAATCCAATCTTTTCATTTTTATTTGTTATAAAAAAAAAAATAAAAAAAAGTAAAGAACTAAATACAGGAATTATTAGAGATGACACTATAAATAACAAAAATTTCTAAATAAATTTTTGAAATGTTTTTTTTTTTTTGATATTACTAAAAAATAGAAAAAACTCAATATTTATGTCCTTCGTTTCATTGAAGAAGATTTTTAAATATGTATTTATTGGATGGTCATTAGTTATGGGGATTTGTTTGTAAATTTTTTTTTATTTTTAATTTCTAACAAAATGTATTAAACTATCAAGTAGTTATATTAACAGGAGCTTTACATTTTGTATATAATTCAGCAGGATCATTTTTAGTAGAAGGGTTAAAAACAAACCCAACTCTCGCAGTAATTCTAGTTGCTGTTGCATTATTAGTAATGGGGTTAATGACAATTTTATATCCAATTTATTTCATTTTTTTTAAAAGAGAATCATTTGTTAATTCAAATTGGTTCTTTACATTATGGTATTTTATCTTATCTTGTCTAACTTTTTTTATTACTGGAGTACTTGGTTTAGTTGTTGGAACTCTTTGTTTTATAACAGCCGTTTGTTTATTGATAGCAATTATCATTTTAAAATTCCCTAACAATTCAACAATGCAACGAATAGATGACACAGAAGTACAACCTGAGTATCATTCACAAATTCAGCAACCTGCAAATTCTTTAACAGAAAAAAAAAACTAAATACTTTTTATCAACTTAACAAAATTGTAATTTATAATACTTTTTTGGATTTTAAATTCTATTTTTTATTTAATAAGTACGAATTGAATATTTGTGTTTTTATTATTTTTTATAAAGACATTTTCTTTACTTATTATTTTATATAAAAAGTATTTCTTTTTATTATTCTTGTTTAAATAATGAATTAAAACATGACTAAATAAGTAATGATTCTTTAAAAATTCAATTAAAATATGTACATAGCGATGAACAATTTTCACTACTATAAAAATATAATAGAGTTTAATATCTTATTATAAAAAATAAAAAAAAAACCATAGAAAGAAGTAATGGATAGAGTTTATTGTTAATTACTTATAAAGAATAATTTAAATAAGTGAATTTACAGTACTTTATTTTATTTATATTATATGTCTTATTTTATAATATAGTGTTATATTATGTAGTTTATTTAATAATTTAATTTATTAAATACTATGATGTAATTCTCTTGTCTTGGTTTTATCCAGAAAAGCTTCTAAAAATAATGAGTCATTAAAATTGTTAATTACAAACAATATATTTTAACTATGAAAGTATTAAACAAATATAAAAATTGAAATAATATTATATAATTAATAATAAACATATGTTGTAATCTCAAAATGAAATACACCATTAATTTATATAATAAACATTCGAAGTGAATAAAAGATAATAAAAGTATTTAAAACTATGAGTTACATTTGATTGTTCCAAAAAAAAAAACAAAAAACCAACGACATTAATTTCATTTTAAATAAATTTAATTAATTTTTTTTCGAATAACTTAAAAAATAAAAGAACTGAATATATTATTTTATTAATTAAAAATGAACCAAGAAGAAACTATTCAAACTACATATAATCGAGTTAACCAAGAAAGATTAGATGATGTTCAAGGGGTTTTCACTAATGATATGTTTAATGAACGAATTGATATTAAGACATTTATAGGTAGTCTGTCTTCATACTCAATTCCTACAAATGCTAAACTACGATTTGAGAATAATATAATTACATATCTTAAATATTATATTGTGATTATATTTATATTATTACTTCCATCAGAGTTTTTATCATTTAAATTCTTTTTTATTGAATCAGTAATTAACATTATCTTATATTTCTTTGGAAATGAATTATCAAAAAAATTATCTCAAACTCCAATGGTTTTTATTTTAATCTATTTATTAACATTATTTACTCTTTGCTTGTGTGTTAATAGACTTATTATTTGGTTACTTTATTTGATAGCCATTTCTCGTTTGTTATTTTTTTTTGTGTTTCTTATTCATTCAACTTTTGTGTTTGTTTTTTCAAAACTTATTTTTTTAGTTTGCTCTCTTCATGCTTTAATAAGAACTCATGTAGAAGAGCTTTTCATTAATTCTTTCTAATTTAATTTGTTCAAATCATCTCTTCTTCTTCTCTTTTTTTTAAACTAATGTAGTTATTGATAGCTATTAAATATTATTTAAATTTAATTTTTAATTATCTATTGAAATAAATCATTTAATTTCAATAGAAATAAAAAAAAAATAATTGTTAGTTTTGAAGAATTGAATATTCTTTTATGAAAGTAAAAAATTTTTTTTATTTGAAGGAATTGATATTGTAAAAAATGAGGTTTATTAGTTTATAATTAGGTCTGTGTTGTTTTTGAAAGAAGAGTCTTTATTTTTTAATTATTACTAAAAGAGATAAATACAATGAATTATTAAATATATTATCTTAGAAAAAATAACATAAACTTTAATAAAATAATAAGAATAATACTTTTTTATAAAGAATTGATATTTTTTTTCTTTGTTAAAGAAATTAAATGAACAAAATTAATTTGAAACTAAAAAATAAAATTTTCATCTTAAAATTTAGAAATTATTAAAAAATTATTATTTAATAAATGTATCATGTTTTGGTGGTAAAGTTGGTTTAGTTAATAATTGTGTAGGATGATCTCTTTTTGGTAATGGAGGACATTCTTTTGTTTGTTGAGAGATTGTTTCAGTTGAATTTTTTAAGATTTGTTTTTGTGGAAGAGATGGGAGTTGTTTCTTTGGTTGTTCTATGAGTTGTTTTGGTGGAAGAGATGGTGGTTGTTTATCATGAAGATTAGTAGTAAGTTGAGTTTGTTGTATTAAAGTAGAAGGTTTTATTAATGAGTCTTTCTTTGGTAGTGCTGGTGGTTGTTTTTTATTTAAAGGTTTAATGGTGTCTAATTTATTTATAAAATGATTATAAATTCTGTTAATGTCTTCTTTATCAAAAAAGATATCTAATTCTTTTAATGAATATGGTTGAAGTGTTTTATCAATAGTACCACTTTGTGGTATTCTAATTTTTCCTTCATCAATTAATTTATTAGGAATAGGAGTATTTTCAATTTGATTTTCTTCTTTTATTGAAGGCTGAGAAATTTTAGGAAGTGGATTTGTACATTCTTTTTGAAGTTGAATTGATTCTATAGGTTGTTGAACTTCTTTTTTATTTATTTCTTTTGGTTTAAGTTCAAAACTTCTCTTTTTTTCAGATTGTTCTACTACATGAACTTCTTTTATTTGTTCTTGTTGTTCTTCTACAATAATTTCTTTTTTTTCATCATTTTTCATTCCTTTATCTTTAAGATAGTCAACCATAGAGAAATTTGGAATAGGAATTGGAAACATTTGAGGAGAATAACAAATTTCTAAGATAGCAGAATTAATCATTTCAATAATATATTGTTCTATCGTTGGTAATTGTTTACATTCATAATTACCTATTCTTAAATAATATGAAATACCAATTTTAGGTAATTCATGAAATGAAAACCAAAGAGTACTTGATGGGATTTTTAATATTCTTACTCTAACATCCCCTAATAATGATGTTATAGAAAATGATAATTGAATTTTAATATTTAACAATTTAAAATCATATACAAAAGATGCTCCAATAGGACCTGTATAATCAAGTGTTCCATCAATGGTAATAGCACCTGGCTCATTACCACATTGTACTTTAGGTGATTTAATATATGGAACATTATTTCCAATTTGAATAAGATTCATTGAAAGATTTGGTGTTAATTCTAATGCAAATAATTCATTAATTTTATGTCTTACTAAATTATGTAAATCAGTATTAGAAATGAAGGGATATGAAAGTAATTGAAGTAACATATTGACGGTACTAGACCAATGTTTATCAGAATCACTTAGTCCTTGTTCATTTTTAATCATTTGTTCTCCTAATAATTGGTATTGTTTTCTTCCACTACCATTTTTAGTCATTTGACTACTTCTTTGGTTATGTGCAAGTTCACATAATTCATCCAATAATTTATCCCAATATTCTAATTCATAAGCGTATCTAAATCGAATTTGAACAATGTCAGAGTTTTTATAAATTGGTCCATATTCCCCAATAACTCTCATAAAATTTTTCTTTGACATCTTTCTTCCACTAAAACTAACATTTTTAATTTGTACTGTTTTAAGAGGAATACGTACTAATTGAGTTGATATTATTAAATTAATACATTCACTATCAGTAGATAATATTGCACTTGTTTCTTCACTTTCTATTTGAATAATACATAACGAAGACACTTCATTTAACGGTGCATTATTAAACCAATCAGAAACAAAAGTAGGTATTTGATTTGTTTTTGGGCACTTTAAAGGAGTAGTTATTGGTATAGGAGGTGGAACTTTTGGAGAGTATTTAAAGAGTAAAAAGAATGTAATCGTAATAAAACATATTAATCCTAAAATTATTGTGAGACAGAGAATAAGAAAAGAAAAAATCATCTACAAATAATAGAGATTTTGTTTATTTTTTCAAAGTTTTTCTTTTCACTTTCTTTTTTTTTTTTCAACAAAAACTAAAACATCATTTTATTTTTCATTAAACAACTTTTTAAACTATTTTTTTTTATACATCTTTTTAATATAGTTTTTAAATAGTAAAATAAATTATAAATAACTTATTTTTATAATGATACTTTAATTATTAATTCTAAGTTTATGGAGGTAGGTGCTTCATTGGATGTTAAATATGAACGTGACAAATTGTTATATACAGTTTACGGATATTGGGAACCAGTTGAAATAGCAAAAATTATAAGTATATTGGAAAGAATTAATTCTCCATATCTCCTTCAATATAGAAATTGGATATACCAACAACCAGAAGATAGTGATAGAAAATTCTTTTCAAGAAAACAAGTTTGTAACTTTTATGATTATTGGTTACTATATATATAAATATTCATTGAAGAAGCCAAAAGGTGTTTTAACTTTTGAATCAGATTTAATTCCATTTACCTTGGAGCAATTTCTTCAAAATGAACCAAATCATACTTTAAATGGAGATAAAGCTATATCTGTAATTTCACAAGTATGGATGGCGTTAAATTCAATAAGAAATTTTTCTGATTATATTAAAGTCTATTCATTACATCCGTCTAATATTGCTATGTCAGTTATACCTGGAACTAATCCACCCACATATCAAATTCAATTAATGAATTATATTCCATTAATTTTTCTTCAAACATTTTCTACAGAACAAAAGATGTTTATTTCACCAAGTCAATTAAAACTTTTGGCTAAAGATAAAAGAGGTATTGATTGTAAAGCTGATCTTTTTACATTTGCGTTACTTGTAACAAAAATATGGACGGGTAAATTACCATATTCACCAAATGTTACATTAAAAGCATTAATAGAAAATTGTGTTGAACAGTATATTGATACTTCATTATTTAAAAATCCATTAGTTAAAACATTAGTTGAAACGATTTTATTAAAAAATGTAAATTGGGATTATACTTATGAAGATAAATATTTAAAACTTGCTCGTAAAGCAACTTTTTTAGAATTTAGAAGTAAACCTGAAGACTTTGAAATTATTGAAGATATTGGTCAAGGAGCATCTGCTATTGTTTATCAAGCAATTCAAAAAACAAGAAGAGGAGAACGTGTTGTTGCAATTAAAGAAATAACAATAAATGATGATGACAAGGAGTATATTCAAAATGAAGTTGATATTATGGCATTATGTCAACATCCTAATGTCATTCAAATGTATGACTCATTTATTCATTCGAAAAGTTTTAGAGGGTATCAACAAGGAAGTTATGCAGAAATTATTATTGAATTTTGTGATGGAGGAACATTACAAAGTTTTTTTGAGAAAAATTATCCAATTGAACCATTTCCAGATTATTTAATGACACATACATTATCAGAAATATTAAAGGGATTATGGTATCTTCATAGTGAACATCATATTGTTCATCGTGACTTAAAACCAGAAAATATTTTATTAAAAGTTAATCCAAATAATCCTCATGTACCTTTCATTAAAATTGCTGATTTTGGATTATCTAAAATTGTTGAAAATCATCAAATGATGCAAAGCTATGTTGGAACTCCTGTTTTTATGGCACCTGAAGTATTTAATAGAATTCAATATAATTATAAATGTGACTTATGGTCATTGGGAGGATTACTTTATTTCTTACGTACTCACACTTATCCACTTAGTGCTAATAATCAAAGATTTATGGAAAATATGCGACTCAATGTTTTACCAATATATGAATATAAGATATGGAAAACAATTCCAGGTATTAAACGAATTGTAGAGAATCTTATTGTCTACAATCAAAAAAAAAGGTATAGTTGGCAAGCTATTCATAATGACCCATATGTGAAACAAATTCTTGAAGAAGACAATGTTGTTAGAGATTATTCAAAGTTATAAATCAATTATAATTTTCTATTTTGTTCGTTTTATCTTTCAAATATAAAGCAAGTTCTTTAATCCTGAGCCACAATAAAAACATGTTGTTGATGTACATTGAATTGTATTTAATAATGGTTTTAATAATTCTTGTTCATGTGATGAAAGTAATGGAAATATTGAACAATTATTACATCTCATACACTTCCAAGACTTATAAACTTTAACTACTGGTTGTTTAGTTATTACACAAAGTTTAAAGCAATGACTCAATGGACATACAATTTGATTCTTTTTAATAATACAAGACTGTTTACATAATGGACATCTATATTCAAATATATCTTTATATTCCTTAGTCCAATTTGGTAGTTCATAATTACCAATAAAACAAAAATATCTTTGAAGTAAATCATGAATAAATGTTGGTAACTTTGATAATATAATTCCTTCAGATTTTAAATAAGTAATCCATTTTAATAAAATATTTGCAGTAATATCTATTTGTAATTGATTAATTTCTTTTATTGATTCATTTCTAATAACACTATCTTCTGTTATTAAATTTGTTAAATTTAAATCATATTCTTTCCATAATGAACTAAGTTCTTCATCAATTTTAGGTATTTCATTTTCTTTTATTTCTTCCATTCCTTTCTCTCTTTTATAAATTACTAATAAATGATTGGGAAATACTGATCTACTTAATGAATTTTGTAATGGAATTAATGAATAAATATTTCCTTCAGAAGACAAATCAAATGAAACAATATTATTTGCAATAGTACTAATTTCATTATTATTAAGATTTAATTTCTTAATATTAAACTGATAGTCTTGAAACAATACTGATGATTCTGTATTAAAACAACATGTAGTACAAAGTCCTATTTCTAATGATGAAATGCATTGAAATGTTTTAAGATCTACAACCTTTATTTGAGTTGATTTTAATACAAATATTTTATCTTGATAAATAATAATTGAAAGAGGAACACAATAATCTTTTTCCATAATTTCTGTTTTAACAAATGTGAATGACTTATTTTTAAATTCTAACAAATCTAAACATCCATCAATTCTTCCAAATATAAAGTATGTAGTTTCATTTTTTTGAAATGATACAAAATGTTTTGAATACATTTTTAAGTTAATAGAAATTATAGAGTCATAAGGTTCTGATAATATCATGAATGTATTTCCTGTTAGTACTGCAATATCATTTTTATCAGTAAATTGTGCATCTACAATAAATAATGAATATTTTCTGTTAATATATTCTTCATTATTTATTTTATGTTCTACGCTTTTCCCCCATAACTCCTTAAAATACAAATTAATTATATGTGAAATATCATTTGATATACACCATAATGAAGATGGTGTAGTTTGTTCTGTTTTTTCTGTATAAACAACTAATGAATGACAATTCCAAGATACTAATAATCGTTCTTGTTCATCACTTTTAGTTTTATTCCAACACATTGAAGTAACAGTATGAATACTATTCTTTGCTTCATTCGACGGAACAAGAAAAATTAAATTTGAAGGCTCAAAATTACCTACATCAACATTGTCTTGGTCTGATGGCATATCAAAATTAGTGATAAAACCATTTGTTGGATTTGTTACATAACAAATATTATTTCCTCCAACAGCTACTAATCCATTAGTAGAAACTTTAATCATTGGAGTAAATGATGTTGTCCGAAACAAATTTTTCATTGAAATACATTTTTTAAGTTCTTGTTAATTAGTATTAATAATTTTATGATAAAAGAATTATAAAAGATAATTAAAAGAAAATTTCAATGATTCAAAGCCGTATGTCTTTAGCTCCTTGTGATATATAACAGCACATTGGAATAAGAAATATACCATAATATCTCCAAACAGTAAAATAGCATGTTTTGTATTTTGGAATTAATGTATAATCACCATCTAATCCTTTAACATTAATTGTAAATGAAGTAGAATTAGACCATTCACTACATTTATTTATTTCATACAAAACATTTACACGGTCTTTTGTTCCTTTCTTATATAATTGTAAATAAATATCTCTTTTACGTGGATTTTCTATTTCAATTTTTAGTACTGTACCTTCTTGAATAACTTCTTTAATTTGAATTGGAGTACCAAGCACAATAGAAGATGCTGCTATGTTTCGTTCATTTGTTGGAAAATAACGAATATCATATTGACCTTCACAAAGTGAATTAAATTCAATTGTTCCTTTTGAACTATTGATATATTTATATTTTAAATATTTTCTGTTATCACATTCATTAATGTCAAATAATCCTATCCATGAATATCTATTATATTTATCTCCAACATCATATTGAACTTGAATACTTGAATTATTAGGATTACTAACAATAAATAAAATATTATCGTCAAAATATTCAGGAACAGAATAACTTTCTGGTATTTCTGGTGGTGATAAACTCATCAATTATTATTAAGATTTTTTATACCTTTTTGTTAGTAAAAATACTTTTACTTGAAAAATAAAACAATTTAAATGAAATAAAAAACGATAAACATCATTTTATTTCAAAAAAGTTTCCATAATATCTCTAGCTACTGAATCAAAATTAGTATTATCTGAACGAGAAGTCATTCGATAAAGATCTTTAGTATAATAACTTAATTTCATTCGTAAAATTTGATATTCTTGCATATCATTAATAAACTTATCTTTGACAATCAGCTCTCTGAGTTGAGTCAATCCATTGTATGTAATATCTGGTTTATCAACAGAACAATCAACTTCACTTTTCAATGTTAATACTGGTATTAGTGGTTTAAACTTTGACTTAATAAGGTCATCAGGTGAATAAGGTAAAAAGAAAATCCAAGAATAAATATCAACTGAACATTCTGGAATAATTTGTAACATATCAAATAATTGTAATCCACTCAGAATAATCATTGGATCTTTGTCAAATGGTAAATTGAATATTGTTATTAATTCATTTAATATTGTAGGCATTCTCTTTTTTAGTCTTGTGAATGAACATTTTAATAACATTACTTTCAATAATAATAAACCATTAATATAAATTTGTGTACATGGATATTGTTTTATAGTATCAATTAATTTGTCTAATAAAATTTCAACTAATAATTGGTTTTGATCCATAAAAGTATCAAACACTTCATTTTCTCCAGAAAGTAATAAAAATGCAACTCTTTTAAATATTTTGGCTCGTGTTGGAATTTCATTTTCTTTTGTAGTAAATAATTGTCCCGATTTACCAATACTATTAATCATATCAAATAATAGACGTGCTCCATTAGTTGTATAAACTGAATATATTGGTATTTTCCATAAATTTAATAATGTTGGAGATTTAGTAAAGAAATCTTCATTTGTAAAAACATTTATTACAAGTTTACTCCATTTATTTGTTAATTGGTTTCTTTTTGCTAATTCAATGAGAACATTAAGAGAAGCAATATTTATTCCCATATCATTACAAGGATGAAGTAAATTATTTTCAAATTGTTTTCCTAAATCAATCATTGTTGAAATAGAAGAATCATCAAATACAAAAGAAATAATTGGAATAATATCATTTGTGACTATGTTTATAACATCAGAATTAATCAGTAATTCATTATTAACAATATTTGGTTCACTCTCTTCACTATTTTTTGATGGTGTTTTACTCTCATTAACTTCACTTGTTCTTGGTGTTTTACCTTCACTTGACTCACTAAGATGTTCCGGTGTTGATAAAACAGATGAAATACTTTTTCTTTTTTGATTAATTTTAATTGTTTGATTATTTTCTTTCCATTGATGAATAAAAAGCATAAACTTATTAAGAACATTAGTGATTAATTCTTGCCAACCAGTTTCAAGTTTTGTTTGAAGTTTAACATCATTTTGATTCATAGAATCCAAAAAAACTTTAATTGTATGAATATTAGAAAATATTAATTCATCATTATTAATATAACAATTAATGATTGATTGAATATACATTTGAGTTCGATAAATTTCTATTGGAGAAATAATTTTTGAAATTAAAATTTGAAGGAAATTTAATATTTGTTTTCTTGGAATTTCTAAGAACATATTTGTTTCACTAATAACTAATAAAGACCATAACATTTTTACAATTGACTCTTTATCAAATGACTTAAATAAAGAAATGTGTTCATCAGAGAATTCATTTGTAATAATAAGATAATTTGAAACAAATTCTAAAGGAAAAGTGTTAAAGACTTTTTCAATAAAAGCAACACAATTTGTTTGAATTAAGAATAAGTTTGTCGCTTTCATACAAAATTCATATAAGTCGAAATATGTTAATATGATTTGTTTTATTGTTGAAGTAAGGAAATATTTTTGAATTGGTTGTTTTTCTTTTGTACCTTTAACATCAAAAAATACTGAAACAACTAACATAGGTACAAAGAGAACAGCATTTCCTATTTGTTGACCTGCACTAACTTGTTGAGACTGAGGATTTGAATTTTCTTCATATAATGATTTATAGGGGAATAAATTTAGTGAATATTCAAAAAGCTTTCTTTGAATATCGATTATTGGACTAACTTCATCACACAATAATAAAATTTGAGGAGAAATAATACTACACATTTGATTGAGAATAGTTGATAATGCTTGAATCAATAAAACTACAGAAGTTTTATATTCTGTTGATGGAATATAAGAAACACAATCATCAATCATTCTAAGAAAATGTTGACGATAAATATTCTTTTCTTGAGAAATTCCACTAATTAATGTTTGAATAAATAAAGGATATCTAGTAATACATTCATCTGGATGAGTAATATCACTAACTTTCATTAACAATTTAACTAAAGATAATAAATGAAGTTGTAGTTTAGGAGAAGATGTAATAGATTCAGCAAATGAAGATAATACAGTATATTGAATAGAAATACCAATTTTTTTTATTGTTTGATTTTCTTGATAATTAGTAAAAATATTAATTAAAATATCAGTTATTAATGATTGATATTTAAAAATTACATTCTTATTTGAGTTATTAACAATTTTTTTATTTGCTTTTAAATAAATCATTAATGTAGTAATAATAAACAAAAGAAGATTATTTGGTTCTGGTAATTGTTCAATTTGAGGATTAATTTCTTTATATTTATTTAATAAATATTTTGGAACTATTGCTCCTTCTAAAGCTTCAATCATTTTATTATCAATACAACTAAATAAAGTTTCAATCATGTTAAGATGTGTTAACAGAAGGTCATCATTTACTTCAAAATTACAATATTTTGTTCTTTTTTCAAGAGGAATATATAAAGGAATAAGAATTGGTAAAACAACACGACCAATTGTTTCAACATTAAATGAACATTGAATAAAATCAAGGAAATAAGGATCACATGACTGATGATTATAGAATCTTAAAAATAATAATAATGCTCTATTAAAAACTGAATTTTCAATATCGTAAACTAATACTGTTGAATTTTTCCAAAATAACATATATTTTAATAAGTCATCTTCATTTCCATCTTTTAATTTTTCTGTAATAAAGTCATATGTTAGTTGTGGATGAGCAATCCCTATAGTATGGAAAAATAATACAACATCAGTTAATATTGAGTAATTATCTTCATCTAATATTTTCCATAATACTTGATATAATTCATAAATAAATGTTTCATCATCAAGTTGAAGTACATCTTTTTCTTCTTTTTTCCAAATATCATAATAACATTTTGCTGCTCTAGCACGTAATACTGCATTAGGATGTTGTGAGATAAGTCTTTTTAATTCATCTATCCATCCATTATTATTTAATTCTTTTTTTAATAATATTTGAATTCCTTCAATTCCTATTTCTTCTTCTTTTTCATTTTCTTCATTAGATTCTTCATTATTATTTTGTATTTGATATCTTTTAAATGGAGTAATTTCTGCATGAAGTAATTTCATTATATTACAAAATTCTGTAAATAATTTTAATTTAGTCTCAGTTATTCTATCATCTTTTGCAATATAATTTTTCATAAACATTTCAAATACTTTATTTGATTGAATAGTAATTTTCAATAATTCAATATCTTTTTCTTCAGTTTCTTCTAATTTATCTTTAAGACAAAGTTCTATTAAATCATAACATTCTTTTACTCTTTCAATTAACCCATTCTTTTCTACAATTTCAGACAATTTATTTAATACTGAACAAACAACTTTTATTTTAAATTCTTTCATTTCTTCCATTTGTTTTTCATCTCCATGATATGTATTGATAAAAGACAATGTTCTTTTAATAGCATATTCTTTATCGTTTGAAATAAGATTAATAATATTTTCAAATAATATTTTACAATTCATGTTTTTGAGAAATTCTGCTAATAAGTCTACATCTTTTCTTTGTCCTGTTTCTTCTTTTAATTGAAGTAAACAAAGTATGTCTTCAGTAACTTTATGAATAATTTGTTCTCCAAGTATTTGTTTACCAAGTAATTCTTCATAAACAGATATTATGTTTAATATTCCATTTTTCTTTGAATATTCAAACAAATCTGTTAGTGCTTCTTCAAATATATTTTGTGAATATTCTTTATAAAATATTACCATCTTTTCTTTTTCTATGTCTTGGTCTTTAGCATTTAATCCTAAAAGATAAAAATTTACCCTTCTGGTTAATGCACTATCCTTTTTATTTAATAATATTAATATTCGTTCAACAATATATTTAAATTGTTCTTCATTAAATATTCCACTATTTAATTTTATTCTTGTACATAAAATATCTAACATGTCTCTTAATACTAATGATTTTTCATCAGTAAATGTATTTAAAATACCATATAACATTAATTCTCTATTTGCTAATTGTTCTTCTTTTATTGGACAATCAAGTTTAAGTAACATATACGTTAATAATGGTTTTCTACTAATGCTATTTGAACGTAATATATCCCAACATAATTCCCAGAAATATTTCTCATTATTCTTTTTAACTTCATCAATAATTTCAATTGTTTTATCTTTAATTCCTCCAGTGTTTTCTTCCATACCAACTATAACAGAAATAATAAATGCTTTTTGAATATCTGGAATATTTGAAATTAAAGGAAGTATGTATTTAATAATTATATCTAATATCTTTGTTCTAATATCTGTTGCTCCACTTCGTATTAATGGAAAAATTCCTGGTGTAAAACACCAGATATCAGCCATGATTCTGTTTTGTCCTATTCTTTCAAACAATAATGAAAATAATTCTAATACTTGGTTATGCACTCCAGCTGGTATTTGTGGATCTAGTGCTTGTGCCATTCTTCTCATAAATGTTTGTTTAGCCGGAACAACCGGAAACTCTTTGTTATTTTTAATAAATTTAGTAAAGGTTTGAACCATTTGAAGAATATCAGTCCAAACCTTACATCTTTCCATTTGATTTAATAACTTCTCTGCTTCATCATTGAATTTTTGAAACTTATTCTTTTCTTTTTGAGTCGTCAAAAAAGAAAGATCAATATCTTCGTTAATGTTCCTTCTCATTTGTTGGTCTTGTTACTATTTATGAGATGACTAAGATTTTTCATTAATCCTCATTTTCTTCATCTGAACTTTTTCTCTTCATTTCTTCCTCAAAAACGGCTTTTCCTTCATTTAATTCCCTTTTTGTGAGGAAAAAGTTAGCCAGTTAATAACTTCTTTATCCCTACAAAGTTGCCACGTTAGTTTTTATTCTCTAACAAATATCATTTTTGTTTGATAGAAATAAAAATGTCATACAAAAAATATTTATAAAAAAACTATCATGTGATATAAAACAATAAAAATTCATCATTGAAAAGTAATTTTGGGGTTAAAAGAACTGTCAAAAACAATTGATAAATTAATGACAGATTTAAAAAGATTATTGATTAACGTCGAAACTGAACTTGTTGAAGTAAGAAATGAATGGGATGCCATTGTAAATGAAACAGATTTAATCTTATCTAGTGAACCAAAAGAATATTCTGTAATTACATTTCCACCAACAGAGCCATTACTTTCTAAAATTGGTGTTATTGATGGAGAAATCAAAGAGATCAAAGAAAATATTGTTTCTGTTGAAGCAACTAAAAGGATGTTTTTTGTTGCGTTTGTTTATTATTAAGTAAAGAATTTACTCAATATTGAATTAATAAATAATATTCTAGTAAAATAGACCAAATTGAAGAAGAAAGAAAAAGTTTAGTTGAAGAAATTGATGCTAAAGAAACCGAAAAGAAAGATTATATTGACAAAATAAATGATACATCAAAAAAAAATGAAGAACGTGTTGGTATGAGAAAAACAAGAATGGGATTATATGCGAAAGAAAATGAATCACTAAGAGCATCTGAAGCATTAGCTCATGATATTAGTGAGAATATTAATGCAACAGTTTTTATGATTGAAGAACAAGATTCAAGATTATCTCGTACTCAATTAAGATGGAGTGAAATGACAAGTATTTTAGGATTATCTAAAACAGTAATGGATTTAATTCATTCAAGAAATAAAGTTGATAAATTAATTGTTTATGGTGGATTGATTGGCATTATTATTATCATTGTATTGTTATATTATTTCATAAAACATTAATTTATTTCTTCAAATGAATTTAAGAATTATAATAATTATACTAAAAAACAACATTTCTAAAAGTTAAAACAATACCAATTCAAATAATTAGTGATTATTACTTATTATTTCAGAAAATTATTCTTTCTTCAAAAGCTTTTTTTTCTCAAATACCATTAATTTCATAACAAATAAGAAATTACCCTTTTTAATGACAATAAATAACAAAAAATAGCAACATTAAACCATTTAATTTTTATTATTGACAATCAAACATAAGTTGTGTTTTTTTAATATTAGTTTGGCTAGATTTAAACACAAAAACAAAAGAGAAAAAAAAATTAATTAAAGTTCATCGTCTTCAAACGCAAAATAATTATCCAAAATAAATTGAGCTCTTTTTCTGACAGTTGAATTCTTAGAGCTTAACTACTAAAATAAATATCTTTAAGTAATAAAAAAAAACATTTAATAATGAACAAACTGAAAGATCTTCACAAATATTTTCAAAATAGAATTGTTCTAAGATTGATGTTAAATCTAAATTAACTTCATCTGCAAATTTTAAAATATTTAATATTCCTTTTAAAGTAATAGAAATTAATTGTTGTTTTTTTATTTCAGTCATATGGTTTTGTAATATTTGAATAAGTATTGGAAGTATTCCAATACTTTTTTGTAGAGTTAAAGATAATAATTCATTTGAACAACCATATATATAATTTGCTAACGTCCATTCAATATTTTCCTTGACACAACTTCTTTTCTCATCTTCATAAGATTGTATAAGTATTTCAATAAATCCACTACTTTCAAATTGTTTAATTATTTCAATATTTTCACATGCAGCAATATTTGAAAGAATTTGATAAATGTCTGCAATTTCGTCGTTTTGATTTTTTTTAGTTAATTCTTTTAATATATCTAATATTCCATATGATATCATTTTTTCTACAATAAACTCATTTTTAACAATCATATTATTTGCAATTTTTATTGAAGGAATTGATAATTTTATATTATCATTTGGTAAGTATTGAATAACTTTTTCATAGACAATATCATTATCAATTAAATCACTAAATTTTGGTTTACTACTTACATAATAAAATGCCCATAATGCATCTGAAACAGAGTCAATATCATAAATGTCATTTACTTGAACTAAGAAATATTGTATGTATTGACTAACTTCATTATAATTTATTATACTTCCTCTACACATATTAAGAAAGAGCCATGACATTGCATGTTGTAATGATTTATCGGATTTATATTTTTGAAAGAGTGTTGAATAAATATTAATAATACTAAGTTGTGAAATAATTAATTTTAATTCATCAAATGCACTAATATTTGAAAGAATATAAATTGTTGAAATAACTATTGAAATATTATCGCTTTGTAATAATAAATGAACGTGAGAATTAAACCCACTATCAAGAAGATGCTTTGAACATTCTTCACTAAGTGAACAAAAATCATTCAATAGAAAAAGAGTATTAAGTAACGACACTGTTTCCATATTTGGTAATGTTCTAACTAAATACGGAATAATCCCAGATTTAATTATTAATGATTGTTGTAATGATTCGTTTGATAAATACGACCTAAGTGTTGGAATTAATGATAAATTTCCTTGGTTCATTACGTCATTACATTGTTGAGAAATAACCTCAATTGTTGGTAATATTGGAACGTTAATAACTTCACTACTAATTTGATTTCTTTTTTGTTCCATCATTTCTCTCCTTCGACTTCTTCTCATATCATTTCTTAACTCTTGTTTATCTTTCAATATTTGTTCCATTCTTCAACAACTTTTGGTTTTTCAAGTAAAAGGGTTTTATAAATAACATAAAAATAATTAAAAAAAAAAATGTTTTATGAAATATAATTGTAAATGTCTTTGTTAGAATCATACTCCAAATATTCTTTGATTACCATTTCATCAAGATAAGGCTGAATGAGTTTTGCATCGACAACTAAGTCATCAGATTGTATCATAGAAATGATTTGTTTTTTTGTTGCTGACTTGGCTCTTTTCATTGTTCTAACAATCTTGGCTTGAATAGCTAAACTAGTATCTTTGATGATAGACTCTTCCTTTATTTTTTGTTTTGAAATTACTTTATGTGTTGAGATATTAACATCTTCCTGAATTGGAATAATTTTATTATTTGTATCAATTAAATTCATTTTCTTCAAAAATGAAATAACTCCTTCTCCACCAATAACTTTATTTTTAAATTCATCTTCTGTTAAATTTCCTTCACTCGCCATAATTAATGCTACTGCTTGACTATGATTTAACGTATGAATTCCTTTACACCCATTAAATTGTATATTATAAATTGATGACTTATGTAAGAATCTTAACATTCTTTTAACATATTTTTTATGATAAAATCCAACAAACATAACAATAATAGGTTTTAAAGCTTCTAATGGTGGTACAGAAACAAATGTTAATGGCCAAATATGATTAGTAGCAATTAAAACATTAATTTGCATTGATGTGTGTAAACATTGATAATATGTTGTTTTCATAAATTGATGAGATAATTCTGAAGATTCTTTTGAATCAGCAATCATTCGTTTTGTTATATAAATGAAACTACCTCCAGTTGATGGACTAACAGACTGTAAAAACTTATGTGGAACTTCTTTTCCATTAACAAGAGCAACTCCAATGAATGATATTAATGAAGTATGAATAGAGTCTTTAATTTCACAAATGTTATATAATTCCATTGCAACACTCATTTCATTATCTTTCATCAATTCAACAGCAACTGTTTTAACACCAAATCCTTTAGACAACAAATTATTAAGAACATTTTTAAGACTATTACTAAAATCTGTAACTTCTGGATAATGTGCTTGTATAAAATTTTTCCAATACATATAATTAATAATAATTTGTTTTTCTTCTTTTTCTTTAAAATCATTTACTAAGAACTCTTTTAATACTTCATCAAATTTACTAGAAAGTCCAATAGTTTTTGAGGCACGATAAATTGTTTGAGTATATTCAAATTTTGAAGTGAAGTGTTGAATAAAAATAGAAGTAAACTTTTCTAATGACTCTTGACCAAATATTTTGGTATATAATACTTTTTCTACCTCTTCTCGAACAGATAAAGGAACTGTCTTTTCACAATAATGATAAATGACAACAAAATTATTTTCGAGATTATTAAAATGATTTAATACAAAGGTACAATATTTTAAGATTTCTTGTGTTTTATTATCTTCTTGATTAATATATGAAGAACAACTTGCCATATCCCATAAATTAGTATAGAATTGAGTTAATTTTAATTCAGCCTTTTTAGAAAGTTCAGTATTAGAAGATGTATAATAACCCATTTCTTTATTAATATTAGGATCTAATTGGCCAACAAGAGGTGTATAAAAATAATTTCTAAGTCCATTTAAGAATACTTGTTCTGGTGTTGGGAAAGAAGAGAATTTTTGAGATCTGATCATAGGAATAGTTATGTAGATAGGATATAGTACAATCTTCATCATCTTTCTAAGATGAGATAGTGTTTGAATAAATGTTAAATATGACACTAAAATTTTATTTGGTGAGAAAGACTCAAAGGTCTTTAAGACTTTAGCAAAGAATTCTTGTAAAGACTTATCTAATAACTCATATAACTGACATACTCTCTCAGTAGTTTGATGAGAAATTATTTCAGATACCATAGAATTAATTTTCATAACTTCAGAAATAGATGGTGATTCTCCATTAATACTTTTTAGTAATATCGTCCAAATAGTATTGAACAACTTCATCTGTCGTTTAAAAAAAAATTTTAGTTTCTTTTTAAAAGAACTATTTAATTATGAAGATTAAATTATTATTTTTTCTATTGATGTTTGTATTTAAAAACATAAAATTATTATAAATAACATTTTTATTTCTAAAAAAAGATAATTAGGTTTTTTAAAAAAAAATTATGGAAAAACAATAACAATGGACAATGATTGGATGCCTTATGCAAATGAACCTGAACCACCTCAAGGACAACTCATTCCATTTATCACATCACCACCACAACTCTGTGAAGAAGTTATAAAATTATTAGGTGTTACAGAAAAAGATAAAATAATTGATGTTGGATGTGGAGATGGTAGAATAGTTATAAGTGCCGTTGAGTTAACTCATTGTAAAGGAGTTGGGATTGATATTAATCAAGATTTGATTGATGGTTGTATAAAAGAAATGAATGAAAAAAAATTAAATACTTATCTTCACTTTCAAGTCGATGACTTTTCACGACCAGATTTTGACTTTTATCAATGTGATTGTGTATGTTTTTATTTTGTCCCAAGGATTATTAAGATGATGAAACCAAAGGTGTTAGAATATTTAAGAGCAGATCATTCAAGAAGGTGTGTTTCAATAAGATTTCCAATAAAAAACATTATTCCAACAAAAGTGAATGAAGCAATGAAACTTTATTATTATGATTGGCAAAGTAAAGAAGGTAAATATGGAACCAATGAAGATGATTGTTTGTTACCAGCATTTTAAATGAATTTAATTTAAAAAAGAAAAAAAAGTCAATTATTTGTTTTTCTTCTTCAATGATATTCTTAATAATTAATGCATATCTCCAATAATACCGTTATCATGAATATCAACATTGAAATAAGCACCTGATTCTAATACTCTCTTTGTATTATCTTCAAAAATCATAGCTTTTTCAATATCTCTTTGTAATTGCATACATCCACGGATTCTATTTTCTAAAATAATTTGAGGTTCATTAGTAGTATAAATGTCTAATGTATTTTTACCAATTAATATTTGATTTTCATGATCAATTACTGCATCAATAACATTATCTTGAATACATTTAGCAACAATAAATTCAGTATCTTCAACACTATCTAATTGTAGTTTCTTTTGAATTTCTGATAATCCAATTCTACTGTATGAAACATAAATCTTTCTAATAGCAGTTTTAATAACATTTTGTCTAATACGAATAACTAATCCATTTGTTTTATCTTCTGTAAACCAATCTTTAAATTCCTCAACTACTTTCTTAAATTCTTCTAAACCACCAACTTGAACTGCTTGAGTTAATCTATAATATGGAAGAAGTGCTTTTAACATTCCATTTTGTAAAAATACATTTCTTCTTGGAATTTCTCCCATTAATAATTGAACAAGAGTTAACCATTTAGTTACACAAACATGAAATCCATATGCTTTTGGTAATTGTGGTGCTTTTCTTATAGCTGTTGTTAATGAGTCATAAGCGTCTGAATATTTTAAATGAATACATTGAATTCTTCCAAGATAATAATAATAACGAGCTTGTTGTTGATTAGAGACACTTTGGTTAATTAAACTTTTTGTAATAAACTTTTCACAAACTGAGTATTGTGATGTAGCCAAATAACAACGAACAATAAGATTAGTTAATGTAGCTTTTGTTTCATTAGCTTGTCTTAATGTTGCTGTAGTATGAGCTATTAATAATTGATCAATGATAGTTACTTTACAAAGCTCTGCAGCACGTTCATAATAAAAATATAATTTTGCAATTAAAGCATCTGTAGAAATATGTAATAAATGTGCACGACTAACTGATTGTTGTGCCCAAAAGAAGGCTTCAGGATATTTTTGATTATCAAGACAAGCAATCACAACTAATAATAATATATAACTTTCTATTTCTAAATCACCAATTGGCAATATTTCATTTAATGTAACTGATGGTAATGGTTGAAGAATATTAACATCATTTCCTGATGATGGAAAATGTGAAATAGTAAATGACCTCAATGGAGAATATAATAATGAAGTTGTTTTAACATGTTTTTCTACAGCACTAAGAAGAATATTAGGTCTAAATAAATGTTTACGTAACCATGCTGTTTGATGATTTAATTTATTCATTAATCGTTCTCCTTTTTCTGTAACACTTTTTTGAATAACTTGAATAGCACTATTAATGGTGTTAGTCACTTGATTATCTAATTGATCAATTCCTTTTTGAATTTCTACTTCCATTTCCTTTCTATTTGATTTTTTAGTACTTGAAGTTTTTATTTTTTACTTTTTGAAGTTTTATTTTTTTTTCATTATTTCTAAAAATTCACTTCTTACTTTCCTAAAATTTTGTTTTATTAAAAAATATTGTTATAAAAAAATGTTAAATAACACAAAGCATTTCAATTAGAAGAGATCACCAAATCCTCCGAAGTCTTCCTCTTCTTCTTCTTCTTTTTTCTCTTCTTTCTTTTCTTCAGCTTTAGTCTCAGTTTGTGCAGCAGTAGCGGCTGGAGCAGCAGCTGCAACAGCCATTGATCCCATTTGTTTCTTTCCAGCTTCAATTACTTCCCAAACATTTTTACCATTCATAGCATCAAAAACTTGTTTGACTTTAGCTTCATCAATTTCAGCACCAGCAGCAGTAAGAATTTCTTTAACCTTAGCTTCTTCTGCGTGTTCGTGTCCAATAGTACAAAGGATATAAGCTGCGATGTATTGCATAATGGTTAAAAGGGTTACTTTTTTTTAGTTTTAATAATTTCTTTTTATTAATTATAGCTTTAATATAAGAAATAATAATGAATATAAGAAAAGAACTAAAAATTTCATAAATGTATAATAATTTAGGACTACGAACAGTCCGTGGAACTGGTACTTCTGGGTATGTTCAAATGAGTAAATCATATCTAAAAAAGAATACTGAAAATGTTGGTAGTCAGTACTATATGACCAAACCAAAAAAGAATAATTTCATGGATCAGGAGATTATTGAACATGAATTACGTAGAAAAATAGAAATTATGGTATTAGAATGGGTAGAAAAAAATTGTAAAACAATGGATGAGAAAGCAAAACAAGAAAAAATTAAAGAACAAAGAAAATATTATCAAGAAAAAATTAACGATGAAATAATTAATAAAAAAAAAGAATTAGAAAGAATTAGAAGAGCTTGTAAAGTAAAAGAAAGTCCAGATAAAGACTTTGATATTACCACAGAAGTATTAAAAAGAATTATTGAAGAAAATAATAACTAATTGTTTATTAATATGGTTTGATATTATAAACTGATAACATTAAAGAAACGTCCATCAACAGAATCTTGGTGAATATGGAAGACTATTTTTTCCTGATCAAGGTCAAGAATTGATTTAAACTTACTTCCAATCAATTTCACAGCTTTAGAATCATCATGCTCCCCTACCCATAAAGAAATCCTTATTTGATTTTTTTTACAATTAAAAACACACCCTTTGACTAACTCACTTGAAGGAAAATCTTCTCCAATGCATGCTAAAATAGTGTTTAACCACTTTTCCTCAATTCCTTCATTCTTCATAGTTTTACTACAATAATGAATCCATCTACCTCCATTTTTATTTTGTGCATCTTCCCATTTTGGTTCAATACCCTTTCTAAATAGATAATAACTACTCATACAAACTAAATCAGAGGCTTTGATGATATTGTTGTACATTCTCCAAAAGTTTTCAACAGTACCAAAACAATAAACCTCTTTTGTGTTTGACCCATACGGAATACTTTCATTTGAAGGTTGGTCATACCATAATGTCCAAGAAGTATTTAATTTATGTTGACCATCAATAGGTTCAGCGTTTAACGTCATAGTCAATTGATGTGGTTCTAATACTTTCACACTCATATAATTACAATAACTGTTTATAAAATATTTCCAAACGTTTATATAGGTAGTAAAGATTAAAAAGTGATAATTGACAAAAAAATGATAATCACTTTCTTTTTGAGGATTTTAAATTAGGTTGAAATTTATTTCTTTTCAAAATTTATGTTGAAATGATATAATTATCTTTCTATTTACTCATAACTTTTAGGATTTATTTAATCAAAGCTGGATATAATAGACTTCAGTTTATATAGCTCAACGTAATAATTAGCTTATTTATTGTTCGTAAATAGAAAAAACTCCTAACTATTTTGAAAGTAAGAATATAAATTTTAATTTGTTTAGTATTTTGTGTAAGGAGAAATCGAAAAAAAATGATATTAGACAATGTTTTTTTTTTCTACTTTATAGTATAACCATTAACTTTAACAAACAAATTCACATCAAAGAAGTACCATTATTTCTACTACTCACTATGTTATTAATGGATTAATCTCATCAAAGTATTTTCACATATTATATTATTTGTTGTAGTTGAAAAAGAAAATCAAAAAAAAAATTGTTAACAAAAATACAATGATATTTGACTTTAAAAAAAATTCTTTTTGATTTGGCTTTCCTCAACTAGTGCTTCTGTTAATGCTTCATGAAACTTTGCTACTATGATAGGTTGTTCATATTTTAACATACAAATAATTAGTTGAAGGTCTGCTTTTTGTAAGTCAAGACAAGACTCCATTTTTTCTATTATTGTTTTACCAAATGGAATATTTAGTGTCAATAGTTCATTATATAAAATACTTGCTTTACTCATTAATAAGATTGATATCTCCTTAAATAGGTATTTAGCTATTAATGTTTTACGTTTATCAATTAATTCAATAGATCGTTTTACAAGGTCTTCAATAATAAATTCATGTTCTAAAGGAAGTAATAATTCAATTGGACTTATTTGAGGAAATGGATTTTCAAGTTTTAATGCTTTGTCAATGATATTAATGAAATAACTTGCTCTTGACGCATAATAAGAAATTATATTAACTTCTTTCATTGTCTCTACTGAAAGTTGTTTTGTTACAATGAGACATAAAGGAAAAGGAAAAATAAAATAATCTGTTGGTTCGATAGCTGTAACAAACTGAACAGTAAAAAAAGGATTGATTTGAACAGTAAGATTATTTGAATGTAACTCTATCATTGTTGGAGATGAAAATTGGTCCAATAACAATGAAATATCATTAATTTCATCTGTAGAAGTTGGAACACAAACAGTGTAATAACTTCGAAGATAACCAGAAATAATTGCTGAAATATATCGAGTACGTTCCATAAATGAATGACCTTCATAAATGAATTGTAATTGAAGATGGTATTGTTTTTTTGAGTATAATAATTGAATAAATTCATCAATTTTATCAATAAATGTAAGTAATTGTTCATTAAGATAATTTGTTGATTCTTCCCTATTTATTGTTATATTTAGTAATTGATAATAAAAGAAGATACGATTAATGTAATCATAAAATGAATCATGAAATGATTTGTGATTAATTATTCCTTTAGGTAAATACACTCCAACATCAACAACAATCACTGGATATCCTGTTGGACATGTAACCATAAATGGTATATGAAGAGTAAAAACAACAATGTCAACATCATTTTCATCAAATTTTTGAACTCCAAACTCATATTGATAATATGTTGGAATGTGTGTAGTTTGAATTCTTATTTCTGTTGGTCTATCAACATGAATTGATGCTTTTAAAGGAATTGATTTATAATATTGATTCATTCCATAACTTATAATTTTACTTTGTATTTCTTGTATCCGAGGAGTGTTTTGACAATACTCCATCATCAATTGACGTTTAGCCAAATCTGGATAAGATATAACATTCAATAAAAATATATGACTTTCATGTTGTTCTTGTTTAAGTTTAAATGTTCTTGGTATTTTCCATTGTGTTTCAGTTAGTAAATCCTTAGTTGTAACTTCTCCTAATAATGTTTGAAAATTCCCCCAAATAACTCCCCAATGCTCGTGAAGGTTATGTGAAGCCATAGACTTAATTTTAAAGAAAGAGCTTTTGAGTCTACTTGGTGATTCATTAATTTCAAGAGCTTCTGAACGAGGGATCTTATAAGACATTTCACTAAACACTTAATTTCTAATTCTTTTTTTTCTTCTGCAAATTCCATTAATACAGAAAGTTCTTAGTGTTTGGAAAAAGATTAAAAAAGAAGGGAGTTTTTCGCTATAAAAATTCATGTTTATTAAGAGAAAATAAGAAAAAATCAAAAGAAGATTTAATATTAACTAATTGATGATTGAATTTAATGAATTATTATTTTTTTATAACAACTATTCTTAAAACATATTTATCACTAGTCAGTACTATAATCTCTTGATTTTTTTTTAGAGTTATAATCCACAAATGTTTTATATTAATATTCTTTCATTATATTTAAATAAAGTTTTGTTATTTCTATTTGTTTTTGACTTTTTGGCATGAGTCATTTTGATGAAAAATATTAACTCGAAAATATAATAATTTCAAGTCTATTTAGCTCATTTTATGAAGTTGTTTGATTATTATTTTTTATTGTTTTTATTGATACTTTTTTCATTAGTAAATTAAAAAACAGTACTATAATATATAAAATGAAATTATTTTTGTGTCACATTTTATTTTTCTTTTTGTTATAATAACTCTAATAAGTCAAAATTTAAAGAGAAAATATTTCAATAAAAATTATACATTTAAATGTGTCATATCTTATTATTTAACATAAAAAATGTTTAAATTTTTCTTTTCTTATAAATGTTTTAATACTCACAATATCATTACTAGTTATATAAAACATTAAATAACTTATTTAATGGTTAGGCTGAAGTACCTTTTTGAAAAAATTAATAAAACAAATTTTTGATATTTTAATTTACTAAAAAGATATTAAAATTTTAAAAAAAAAATTATTATTATTTTTAAAACTTTGAATAACAAGAAGATTTTTTTATTTCTTTTATACAAACTAAAAAATACTAATGATTTAAATATTTTATATTGAAAGAAAAGCACAAGGCAAAAATAATTAAGAAAAACAAAAAAATAGGGTTTAACAAAATGAACAATACAGATTTAGATTATGTCTACTGAACCAATTACCAACAACGAAGTTAAAGAAGTGTCTCAACAAAACACTCCAAAACAACCAAAAAAAGAGACAAAAAAAGAACAATTAAAATTCCTTGTAAAGACACCTAAAGGAACTCGTGATTATTTCCCTAAAACCATGAATGCAAGAGAAACTGCTATTCAAACTATTACTAGATGTTTCAGAAGACATGGTGCTGTTACCATTGATACTCCAGTATTTGAATTAAAAGATATTCTTACATCAAAATATGGAGAAGAAGGAGGAAAACTTATTTATGACTTAGCTGATCAAGGAGAAGGTGAAAAGTTATCAATGAGATATGATTTGACTGTTCCTTTTGCAAGATATCTTGCTACTAATGGAGTCAAAAAGATTAAAAGATATCAAATTGGTAAGGTTTATAGAAGAGATCAACCATATATGACACGTGGAAGACAGAGAGAATTTTGTCAATGTGATTTTGATATTGCAGGTGAATATGATCCAATGATTCCTGATGCAGAAATTGTATCTATTCTTAATGAAGTTTTAACTGATTTAGAGATTGGAACATTCAGAATTAAGATTAATCATAGAAAACTTTTAGATGCAATTTTTGTTCTTGCGGGTGTTCCAAGAGAAAAGTTCCCAGCAATTTTCAGTGCAGTAGATAAATTAGATAAAGTTTCATGGGAGGATGTTGAAAAAGAAATGGTAGAAGTTAAAGGACTTGATAGGGCTGTTGCACAGAAAGTTGGAGAATATGTTAAAATGCATGATAAACCAAAGGTAATGTATCAAAAACTTGTTGATATGAAATTAGGAGAAACAGCTAAAGATGCAATGAATGATATGAAGTTATTGATTGAATATTGTGATGCTTTAGGATGTTTAGATAATGTTGAATTTGATATGAGTCTTGTTAGAGGATTAGATTATTATACAGGAGTCATTTTTGAAGCAGTTATGGTAGTTGGAAATACATCTGTAGGATCTATTGCAGGAGGAGGAAGATACGATAATTTAGTCGGTATTTTCGGAGCAAATAAGATTCCATGTGTTGGATTTTCAGTTGGACTTGAAAGAATTATGATTATATTAGAAGAGAAATTAAGTAAAAGTTCTAAGTTATATGAAGCTCAAACTGAGGTATTTGTTGCTTCTGTTGATAAGAATAGACTTATTAATAGACTTCAATATTTAAATAGACTTTGGGAAGTTGGTATTTATGCAGAAACATTACAAAGAGTAAATCCAAAAATTAAACAAGAACTAAGAGATGCAGATGAAATTGGATGTAGGTTTGCTGTTATTTTCGGTGGTTCTGAGTTAGAAGAAAAGAAAGTTGTTTTGAAAAATTTAATTACTCAAAAACAACTTACTATTGATGATGATAAACTTATTCCTGCTCTTGTTTATCGTTTAACACATAAAGACACTTATTTAACTGAAGACCCTGAAATGTTTGCCACTGAAGAAGAAGTCAAACAATTTAAACAAGTAAGACATCAATTAAATGTATTTAATTAAATTTAAATACAATAAACATTTAATTGAGTAGTTTTGAATGTAAATATAATTTTTAGTCATTTTATTTTAATTGTATTAATGATATATGATATATCAAAAATATAAAGTATTACAACATACATAATAATATATTTATTTAAACCAGAAACAGAATTAAATGACAATAATTAATTTAGTTGTGTTATTTAATATAGTCAATAAAATTAGCTGGAACTAAGCCTCGTTTTCCATTTAATTCAGCCATCCACCAATCACCAGAATTATCATAAATATTAATAATATCCCCTTCTCTTAATGATAATTCAGTAGAATCAGATGCTTCATAATCATACAATGCTTTCATACTCAAAATTGGTCGATTTGGTAAGGGAATTTCTTCTGGTTTTGAAACAATTGGAGTTGAAGAGTTTTGAGTTATTTCTTTTATTTCATCTTGGGTTTTGTTTTGATTATTTTGAAGACTTATATTGTTTTGGTCTTCAGTTTGATTATTCTCATTTGTTTTTTCTTGTTCTTCATTAACTTCAATAACATCATTTTTATTTTCTTCTGGAATGGTAATAACTTCACTACTTTCATCAGTATTTTCTGATGATGTACTATGTAGCTTATCTTCTTCTTGACTTGATTCACTACTTTCCAATGTTTTATTTTCTTCCTTTTCAGTACTGATATCATCACTTTCACTACTACTACTATCAAATGGGTTTTGTTCTTTTTTCTCAGTATGTTCTGGTTTATGTGTTATATCATTACTCTCTTTTTCTTTTTCCTGTTGTGTTTGACGTTCTTCTTTTTTTTCTTCTTCTGTTTGACCAAGAGAAGAAGAGACAATAGTCTCATTTTTTTTTATTTTATACTGACTTTCTTCTTCAATTTCTTTCTTAATGCCATTAATTATTTCATTTTTTAATTTCATTTCTTGGCTCATTAGTGATGGTTTTGAAGGTGTTTTAGGTAATGTTTTTTCAGGAACATGTTTTGCAGAAACACTAGTACTACCTGTGGATGATGACGTGGTTATTTTATGTTTTCTTCTTTGAATAAAGTCATAACAATGTAATTCACTAATATAACTGTGAAGTGGTTCAGTAATAACATACTGAGGGGCAGCACCTTGTTCTCCACCAAATTTACTTATAATAGATAATGCTTCATTAACACCATCTCTTTTTTTCATTTCAAGTTCAACTACAGCACGAAATAATGTACTTCTATATTTAACAACCATATTCATCATAAGACACATGTCTTGGATTAATTCATTTCTTAGTTCATGATAAGCAACATCTGCAAATTCTTCTTTTTCAAGTAATTCATCAATACCTTTTTGGTTTTTCTTTTTTTTCATTTCTCTGACACGACTTTGTGATAATTCCCAGTCAATCTTTCTATCTTTCATTATTTTTTTTCTATCCTCTAATTCATTATATTGAATAATACATGAATGAGCATTAGAATATAATATTTCATATGCAGTAGCATAGTCATATTCTGCCATTTGTCTAATTTGACAAGAAGAGTTAAATTGTAATACGTGATTATAAATGTCATCTTCTTGATTAAATATCTGAAGAAAAGAATCTCCAATCTTCAAAAGACTTTGGGGTGTTTTTCTAATAACATTTAAATGTGTTGATAACGAATTCATAATATGTTGAAATTGACATTGTTGAATTTTAAATTCATTGTCAATCGTTTCAAACTCTTCGTCAACTTCTTTTATCTCTTCATTTCTTTTTTCTTTAACACTTTTACTTGCAGAGTAAATTTTTCTATTAACAATATCAAGGGCAGTCTTCATTTGCTATTCTTCTTTATTTTTTTTAGTTTTCTCTTTTATTTTTTTAATTCCTTTTTCGATTCAAGTTTTTTGTTTCAAGCCAAAATGAACTTAATATTAACGGTTTATGTTCTGGACTTCATTATCATCATTATTATTTGTTAATTGCTTTGCACAGTTTGACCAATGTCAAACAAGAGAAATAGTTAATTGTGAAGATTTTATTAGTTATAAAATTTTTATTAATGAAACTCAAAAAAGAAGTAACAATTATTGCGAAAACACTCAAGTTCAAAGATATGCTTATTTTGTTCAAATACAAAGTCATCAAAATGAACTTTTAATAGACACATGTGATTCGGATGATGGAAGTTCGTATTTTGAAATTATTGATCAATGTGATAATTCTTTATGTCTTATTTCATCTTCAAAACAATGTGGAAGTCACGCATATATTAGATATACTAATGAATCTTCAATTAATATTATTCTTCGTGTTATTTGTCTTGAACCAAGTTGTCATTTAGTTCTTAGAATTCAACCAATAACAAAATACCAATATGATACTTGTTTTAATGCAAAAGTTATTGATCAAAATACAAATGATTTATTTTCAATAAATGAATTAAAATACTCTTCTCATGGATGTTACGGAAAAGAAATAAAATCAAAAGGAAAATGGTATTTTATTAAATCTAATTTAAATTATAAATCTATTAAAATTAATGCATATGGAATAACAAATCATAATTATATTCCAATTGAATTAAAAAATGGATGTAATGACTATTATTGTTCAGTAAGAAATGGACCATTTTATATTGACTCAAGTTTTTCAAAATATATTTTTATTGATTCAGGATCAAATGATGATAATATTAAAGTTCAAATAGAATATATAAATGAAATACCATATTCAAATGATTGTTCTACTGCTCAAGAAATTAAACTTCCTTATTCAACAGTATTATGTAATTATAATCAATTATTAACTCAAGACTATTGTGATAAAACAAAAACCAATGCAAATACTTTTGTATTAGTAGTAACTGAGTCGTCATTAATAACATTATCAACTCAATCAACTCAATTAAATTACGACAGTATTATTTCTGTTGCTAATGGTAGTTGTGATAAATATACATGTATTAAAAAATCAACTCCTTTAACTAAAAACGGCAACGAAAAAAAGCAAATAATTGAAAAAGAAGAGAATGAATGATATAAAAGAATAAAAAGAAAGTAAAAAGTAGATGAAGATGAAGAAAGAATAAAAGTAGAAAGGAGAGAATATAAAAAGAAAGAAGATAAAGTGTAATAAAACAAAAGAGATGATAAAAGAAGAAAAGGATGAAAAAAATAAAGGATGCAAATTTTATTGAAACAAATAAAAAAAGTGCAATAAAAAAGCGCAAAATTTAATGATGCAAAATTTAATGATGCAAAATATTTAGCAACATTTTTATGGATGCAAAATATTTTGAAATAAAAATAATTCATCATTTGATATTATTATATTTGATAATAAATTATATTATCTATTAAATATATCATATTTCTTTATTATTTATCTTTCTTTTCTTTTAATTATTTCATATATTACATT